ACCGTCAGTCAGAAAGAGCAGTGGTTCTTAACCTTTTTATACTCGCGGCCCACCAAATATTTCATAATTTTTTTGTGACCCTCATTGTTTTAATAATAATTTATATTTGTTAAATTATCTATAATAAATTGATTTTTTTATTACTGCTTTATTTTTTAAATTTCAAGCATTAATAGTTTTTTAGAATTACTTTGGAATAAAAGAAGTAAATACTGCGGTGTAGTAGCATATTTGCATTTATTTCTTCTGTACTAACAAAGTTGTATGTAGGAAGAAATAAGAAATAAATAAAAAAAAATTAAATACGAAAACTTTATCTTTCTTATTTCACTTTTCTATACGATATTCGGTTATACATCAATTTTCTTTTTATTATATTCTGAAATTTTGCATAATTTCGCGGCCCCCCGGCAAACTTCTTATGGACCCCAGGGGGCCACGGCTCCCATGTTAAGAAACACTGCCCTAGACCAGTGTTCCGCAACCGGTGTGCCGTCACATGGTAAAAGGTGTGACGTGAACTTTTACATATTCTGTTAATTTCAAGTTTTATTTATATTTTTTCATCACAGTTGTTGTGTTTCTTACGCTTGTATTTCATTCTCTGCCGCATCACTGATGAAATAAGATAATGTTTGTTTATTCTTTATTACAAGCCACGCATTTTTATGTATTCTAAGAAATTATATGTAAAATAAATTCGCTCACAGGTGTTGATGTCTGTTTAATAATAGTAATAATAGGTTAGTGGCATTACGTAATTCTATTCATAGTATCATATACATTTTTCAGGGAATAACATTTTCGTGTGCCGTGTTGTGGTCATGGGTGTGCCGCAAGTAGAAAAAGGTTGCGGAACACTGCCCTAGACCATCGCTGACTGATTGCCCCTGGAAGTCGGCTTTCTACAGAAACACAGCTTCCCTATCATTAAATGTCACGACACGCCACTGTACTGTATCTATACATGGATTTGCCTGTGAAATTGAGAAGCTGGAATTCAAAACTATAAAGGGTAAGTAAATTTTGTCCTGAAATTTTAAAAATGCTGTATTTAATCAATATATCTTAAAATAATTGTTTTCATGAATATTAACAGCTCATTCAGTTGTAAATAAAAATATTATGTGCTGTATTTGACAGATTACTACGAATGGAAAGCCACAGATAAGTTGAGAACCAACTAAAGTTAACTGTGTCGTACTGTCTAAAATTCATGGAATTTATAAATTCTACTCGTGCGGCTCTGGCACATGGGATCATGACTACGCTCAATTCAGAAATGTACAAAAGGAAAACATTCAATAACAAATTGTGCATATGAAAATGTTGCAAACGTATAATTTTCAATAAAACTTTTTCATAAAGAAAACATCTTTGTTATAAATAGTATTTTTTCTTAGCTAACGTTCAAATAAATCGTTGCAAATCTGTTAAAATATTGCAAATTTTCTAATATAAAACGTTTAAATTATTTCTAAAAAGCAATAAATAATTTTATTAAATAACACACACAAAAAAAAAATTCGAGTAAAATAATTTGAAAATTCAGCAGGAAAACCTTGAGATTAAAAGAATGTAAGAACGAAAGTCTACATATTCTGTAGAATAACTTTTATAAAATACTTTATAATTTTAAATATTTTGATAAAAATAGTGAACAATAACCACAAGTTTGATAGAATGGAAGAGAGAATTGGAACTTTGGAAAAAAGTTAGTGAGACAATTTCTGATTTAAAGCAAGAAAATGGTCATATAAGACTCGAATTAAAATCTTCGCATGCACAGTTACGTATGTTAGAGCAAAATTTAAACAACTCGACCTTAAACATTGTAGGATGCCGAAATTACGTATAAAATCTTCTTACATGTTAATAACAGCTTCAATCAATCCCTTATTTTAAATCCATTTAGAATCAGACAATATATACTAAAAACACAGCAAACGAAGTAAAATTAAAGATAGTGAAGTAAATCAGCAATGTTATAAAACAGAGAATTATATATTATAAATACTATTAAACAGAATAAAATGCATAAAGACAAAAAACGATAAATGCATATAGTATTATGAACAAAGAATGTAGGATATACATTAATGAACATCTCGCAGTCGTATAACAGGTAATATATATATTTTTTTAAAATTCGAATGTTAAAAAAACAGGAAAAGATATTGTATACGTGAATAAAGAATGGTAATATTTTTTTTTTGGAGAAGAATCTTAGTTCTCCCTCAGTTCGAGTTTTAATGTTGGAATGTATAGATAACCTTTTTCTGGATGTATACACACAAAAATAGTTGAGTTCTCTAGAAGAGGTGTTTTTGTGCCGTATTGTAATGCTAGAGGCTTCAATAATAAATATTTAGACATAATTAATATAGCAGGTGAATATGACTGAATTAGCCTAATAGATTTCATAAAATACCACTCTTTGATAGGCTATGGCTTATGTCAGTGAGTCTGACTTTCTTATACAGCATGACTTAATTTCTGATCTTTTACCAATGATAGACTTTACATATGGAGAAGATTATGTGATGAGTGAGAATGTTAAAGTTACTCGTCGTAAAATTAATAACTCTTCGATTTGTCTATTACGAAATGCTTTGTTATCTTATTACAATGGAATTATTTTTATACCCAAAATCTCGCAATTGAACAACTGGCAGATTATCTGCATACCATTTTACTGATCTTTGTTAATAAATTATTCCTAGGAAAGAATATATAGAAAACAATTCAACTCATAGAAAAGTATTCTTGAGGAAAATTCTATCAGATTATACTCTGACTTTACTAAAACAGGACAAAAACTCTGTTTAAAAATATTAAAATCAGAAATACTATAGCTCAAGAGGAACAATTTTGAATAAACAAATAAAAAGGAATATTCGAACAGAGGAAAAGAACCGTTACGAAAGATTGTTCTCCAATGTTCATTCTCCATCTGAATTCTGGAAGAAGATTAAACGTTTACCTTCAGAAGTAATAAAAACCAATATAAAACAAATAACTTATAAAGGTAAACCTATTAGTGATGACAACTAATCGGTAATATACTTACCGATCACTATAGATGCACGGACGGTTTTTCTCCTATCGTTTCTGACAATACTAGTGCATTAGAACTTTACATAACAAGTTTTAAGTCCTTTTTGAAGAATTCTACTCCATCGGAAATTATGTAACATAATAATGGACCTAAAAATAGCACTCCAGATATAAATATTTAATATTATAGCTACACCGTTATAATATTTGATAATTAAGTATTTTAAAAATAGTTTCTTCCTGGAAAAGCTTAATTATCATCTGGTATTGCCGATACATAAAGACAAAGAATCCAAATATGACATCATCTATAATTATCGTTCAATAATAATCACTACTATTCTGGCAAAATTTGTAGAAAAAAAAGATTTTCAAATTATATAAATAAATTTAAAATTATTCATCTTTATAAATATGCCTTCAAACAGGATGCGCATATACGCACGGGAATGTACTGTATTTAACATATCCACGATGGATTCGTTAATGCATCTTAAGCAGTTAATTACTTCGCAATTGTATGGATAAAGTTTGGTAATTTCGGTTTTCCTGGATCTCTAAAGCATTGGACAGTCTGGATTTCCATAATTTAAATATTATTACGTCAAAATTCAATCTGTAACTTGTTTAAATCAAACAAGAGTATTCCGCAAGGGTCTGTCTTGGGTCCTCTACTCTTCAATATTTGAAACAAAATCGTTTT